ATTGGGATCCTGGGTGCAACTGGAGGGAGAGAGTCCAGTTCTTTACTGTCATGCACTGATGGCTCCCTGCTTCATCCTGGCCAACAGTTTCAATTGTAGAATCTCTATGCAGATTTCTCCAGAGATTGTCCTTTGCACTATAGGATTCCTTCTGTCTACCTTCCTTATCTACCTTCCTTACATTGTGAGACTTTAGAATTGTAGGTATGCCTGGAATAACAAAAAGGATCGCTTTAATAAACTTAAAAATGTAACTTAATCTTTTCCTAGTGAATAGTAAGGAGTTCCTTGCAAAAGAAGAGAGCCAAATACCAGTGGATGAAGTGTTTTTCTACCGGTAATATACTGAATACAGTTTCATTTGGGGAACTGTTAAAATTTAAATTTTTTAATTCCGTGAGATGCTTTAGTAACATAGGCCTCTCTTTATGAAAAGATTGAAGGATATGTGAGTATCCATTTTTGTGAAGAAAATTTGTAAGTCTGTTAATCTTAACACATCTAAGTGAAATTAAAACAGGTAAATTTGGGAGTTTTTTTCATAATTTAGCATAAACTTTGTTATATGAATCTTGATTTTGTGGGACTTAATCTTTAATTTCTTCCTTTAATATATGTAGTTTTCTTACAGGCTTTAAATCCGTATCAGTCTAATATGATCCCATCTGCAAAATGCTAACTTTCACTGTACCCTAGTATAAGAATATGTCTGATAAAATACTGTGATTAGAGGTCATTCAGAGCCACATTTTGTATATTCTAACACATCATTAGTGTTGACATTAAAATAGTCTCTTACCATGCCATTTGAGTTCAGATGTTTTTATGAAGAACTAAATCTAAATTTTTGAAATTTACTGTCATATTTCAAAAGTTTTCAACTATTTTATTGAATTCAAAACTACTTTTTCTCTCACAAAATTTCAATTGTTTATGTCCAACTGAGGTAACAACCTTTATACTTGTGTGTGTCACTGGTCATAGGTGATTTGATTATAGTAAAATGGGCCCTTTAATAAAACAAGCAAATATATAACATTCATTTTATTTTAGGTATTATAAAAAAGTTGCTATTAAAGAAAAACAAAAATGGAGTTCAGATGAAGGAAGTATAGAAGATGTGGACGATGAGGAGTTTGAAAAGATGATTGGTAATTTGTTTTTTACTCCAATTTGTATAATAATATGTTAATATTTATAGAACCACAGAACAATGATGGTAAAAGTGAACTTATTTCAAAAAATCATTTGGCTAAGAATACCATAGGAATCACAGTGAAGGATTAAAAAAATTTTTTGGTGATATATGGTTATTCACCTACATGTGCTTCAGAAAGATATGATTGTGTATGGGCAGTTCATGGGGGAAATACTTTGTAAATAAAATTCTTTTACATAATTTTGGTGTAAAAGAAAAACTATTTTTATTGTTCCTGATTTCCTTGTGTGATTGGTAACAATACAGTAGTCTTCTGTTTCATCTTTATAATCTGCAGAGCGTTAGACAATTTTTAATTGAAATTTAGACTGGAACAAAAAAACATGGGAAATTAGGAAAGCTTACACTGAGTTCACTTTGCATACTGTGTTATACCTACTTAAGAGGACTGTAGCTGTTAAACATCATTTTGATATTTATCCCCTTTCCACAAAAGAATTGTAGAAAGAAACAAATTAACTGGAACCCATTTTAGTTTAGGGTTAAATTCACAGGTTTATGTAGATTAACGAAACACACCAAAAGTCATGTGTATATCATTTTAGTGTTTGTCACAAACAGCAGAATTATGACTGTGTTCATGGATTCAGATAGTAAGACACAACAACTTTGTTACTCCTTGCTTTTTCTCACAATTGGTATATTGTTCTTTGGCAGACACATTTGAAGATGATAATTGTTTTGCCTCTGGAAAGGATGACCTTGATTTTGCTGGGTAAAATACTCTTCAATCTTGTTTTACTATTTTCCCAGAATTTCCCACATTGTCCCTCAGAACAGTATAGCACAGGACTATATGATATATAGTAGAAAAGTATTGAAAAAAGTTTGGGACATGGATACAATACTTTTATTTTAGACCTTTATAAGACACTTTAGTATATTAGATAAAGGCTCTGAGTGGTAATGTAACTCCCCTTTGAAATGTTAATAGCCCCAGTACCCTGCAAGTCACCGAAATATTTAGAAAACAATGTCCTCTTTTTTGTATTACAAGTTGTTGTTTTTCTTTAGCAACATAAAAAAGAAAACGAAAAGAACTAAGGATGACCCTGAAGATGAAGATTCAGAAGGTAGTGATGATGGCCTTGATAACTTGGATGTTGACGAAGTTTCTTTAGGAAGTATGAATGAAGAATTTACTGAAATTGATGAAGATGCAGGAACATTCATGGATATATTGGATGAGGAAAATGAAGACATTCCAGGTATGCATTTTAAAAATTCAAGACAATTTTCCTTTCTTCTTCAACATAGGCTTAGTTTTCCTGTTGGTTTTTAATGTTACTCTGTATTCAAATTAATACTCAGCTCAGCCAGAAATTTAGAGAGGACCTTTTTCCCTCTTACTTGGAACTGAAGGATTTTTTTTCTTAAAGCAATTGAATTTTGAGTTTTGGGTTTTTATTTTAATAAACAATTCGGCTGGCTGTGCAATACTTGTTGCAGTAATCTGTTACTCTTATTTAATGTTAGAATAGTTATTAGCAGTTTCTAAAAGCTAATCGATATGCATCCTTCATGATAGCCCTCTAGCAGTCCTATTGTTTTTAAATTGCTTAACTGCACTTTTTTTGGTAACAGAACTTGATGATGGAGTCAACTCCAAAGTCAGTACAAAGAGAAGCAAGAGAAAAGGTATAAATGAATTTGACTTCTCTGGATCATTTCAGGGTAAGGAAATATATTTAGTCTTTTTTAGACCTAAACAGTGTGCATATGAAAGTTGTTATTCATTAGCATTTTGGGAAATTTTCTAAATTAGTACAATTTAGTTTTTGTTTTTATAATGGATACTAAGTTTTATGTATTTTTAATATATGAAAATTGTTGTTTTCCACATATTCCTTCAATTGTTTTCCTAAATTTCTTCCTCTGTCATTTAAGTATCTCTAAGTCATCTTTTCATTCATGTTGAAACCATTCAGTTACATGCAAGCTCTGGGTTTTCCATAGACACCTGTTGCCTTTTACCTTTTCTCAACCAACACTTGCTTATTCCTTACCATTGGACTCTTCTAAAACTCCAGGCTGTTCATCAATATGACTTTCCTTTGTATGAGATCTGCCATTTTGCCATATGATAAAAACAATTCTAATTTCAAAAATAACTTAGATAAAACAGATACAAATTCTTTCTGCTACTTTATTCTCTACTAGTTTAAAAAGTCTAACAGGTGATGCCTTTTAGTGTAATGTTTTTAAGATGCTAATCACAGGAAAAAGTACTATATCAGGTGACAATTTTAAGTTTTTGATAATATAGAAAGCACTATATTAATCCTTAATTTTGTGGATAAATTCACAGGATTGCTTTTTTTTAATGCTTTGCTTCTAATGCCTCTCTAGCGTCTGAAGAATAAAAATAGACTTCTGAAGTTAAAAATAATTAAAATGCTTAACGATTTTATTAAAATCAAAAATATTTTTGACAATAATACAAGTAATAACTATTTATATGTTGGTAGTAGTCTCTCAGACACTTTTATACCTACAAAATTTTTATCAGCTCTTTCAAATACTGCTAACAATCGTAGTCATCTTAATCAGATTGATTTTTACCTATGCATACTTAAATTGTAACATGTTATCTTCCAGATTTTTGTGTTCCATTGAGTTATGGAAGGTCATTTTAGTAGTAGCATATGCTCACATATAAGACAATATTTTCCTCACTCATCCCTCAGAAAAGAAATGTTGCTTCATCTTAAGTCTGTTGAGCCTGTCATATTAAATATAAGATGCTCTCTCAGTGACCATATTTCGAGTAATGAAGTATTACTTCAGAAGACATTAGTCTGAAAGGATCTCAGATCTCAGTCGACAATAGTTTTGATACAGATTAAAGGATGCCTGACTGGTTTGATTAAAGTAGAAGGAGAAGGCAAAGGAATTTCAAACAGATTTATTAATTGATCGTCGGGGCAGGAGGTGTTCATTCCACATTTGCAGATGTTGGCTATCCTTAAGGATGAACAAACCTTAAGGGAATTTTTAAGAAGGCAGCACAGCAGAAGTACTTACTGAATTACAGATATATATGCCTATAGAATGAAAACAAAAAAAACTTCCTAATGCTATTCAAGTGGGAATTTTAACAAGATAAAATATTAAAAAACAACATCATGCACACTTAATTAAATGATACACATTTCACCTTGATAAAAGTTAAGGTTAAATGCTCTAGAAACTAATGAAAGTGGCTCTGGTATATGTATGCAAAGACTTACACATGATTGTTCATAGCGTTATTCATATTAGCCAAAAAGTGAGAATGACCCAAATGTCTGTTGACCGATGAATGGATAAGCAAAATGCAATAGGTCCATATAATTAGTCATTATTCAGCAGTAAAATGCAATGCAGGACTGCTACATGTTTTAGATGGCCTCAAAAATGAACTAGCCAAGAAAGGCAAGACCTAGGGGAGAGGGCATGTGACTGCAAATGGGCACCAGGTTCTTCTGGAGTTGATGGAAATGTTCTAAAACTGCATTGCAGTGACAGTTGAACAACTGAAATTTACTAAAAACATACTGATTTATTAACAGCTGGACTTTTATGATGATTTTTATTGCCTAGTAAAGTTGTTAAGAAGTGACTCTAATAGTCCCAGAAACATTGATGTCAGAGATGCAGAGTTTGAATAATATTATTTCAAGAAAAGTGATGGATAAAAGTGGTATCTCTAGTTAATGTATCTTTACATAATTTCAAATGTGTAAAAATATTAAAGACATTTTATCTATTTTGTGAAGTTTATTAAGAATTAATAGGTGAGTTTTTAAGGAGAATCACTTTATTTTGAGTATTATAAACAAAATTTCATCTATAACATAGTAAACATACCTTCCGTCAATTTCTTCAGTCCCAAGAATTAAAACCTCTGACTTAATTAAAATTTACATTTTGCTTTAAATATAAAATCCTTCCATGTCAACTTTGGAATTTTAATCTTGCCTGATACTATGAAATGGGGTAAAACCTTGATCAGTGGTCAAATCTGAAAGGCAAAAAGACACTACTGTCATCTGAACAGTTTACTAGGTTACTAACTTTTTTAAAAAATGCTGTATACTAACTCCTAAATTATATTTCTTTAAGTGCCAGCTACTTAATGAGCTAGGAGATAAATGCAGTTGTGTATTTATTATATAAACGAATATAATTGTTTTTACCAAGACAATGCTGAAAGATTTACATTTTGCAAAATCATTGTATTTACAATTTAATAATCTAGGCTTACATACTTTTAGGACCAAGGAAAAAAAAGAAAAGAAATCTCAATGACTCCAATCTGTTTGTATCTGCTGAAGAGGTAAGGCTAATATACTGCTTCAAGAAGCTAGTTATTCTGCATTGTTTTAAGTTTTCTAATAAATGTATCCCCCCCACCCCAACCTTTTTTAAGTTTGGCCATCTATTGGATGAAAATATGGGATCCAAGTTTGATAGTATTGGCATGAATGCCATGGCTAACAAAGATAATGCAAGTAAGTAACTTGAATTTTTTATTGAGGTTTTAATTAGATAAGGCCTTAAGTTAGAACTTCTGAGGATGTAAATATTTTTGGAGGACCTTTTTAAGTAAGAGTGGATAAAATTCCTTTCATCCTATAATGAATAGCTTTTTTCATCTGGGATTTAAAAAATATTTAGACTACTGCAAAAAAGTACAACCTACAAAAGTTACTTTTGTTTTTTTAGAGAGGCATGCTATTTTTATATACTTTGAGTTTGCTAAGTAACTATAGGTGCTTTATAAACAGTTTAATTATTTCTGATACAGTTACTGGCTTCTATTCTTTAATCAGTAAAAATGTTCAGGGGAAATAAAATCTTTGAAGCATTTGTTCCTTACCTTTCCTAGTCTTTTATTTGTAGAACAACAATCTCTGACAATAAATACAGAAGGAAAGCAGCAAACAAGCTGGAGATTTTGCATAGTGATGGGAAGTGACTGTGGGCCATGGCCAACCAGAAGTCCTGTTAGTAGGATGTTTTCTGGGGTTGCCAAGAATCTATAGTGTGGGGTGTTCATCTTTCTCCAACCCATTATCCCAACAGGTCTCAAACAACTTAAATGGGAGACTGAACGTGATGACTGGCTACACAACAGAGATGTAAAAAGTATGATCAAGAAAAAGAAGAATTTCAAAAAGAAGAGGCCAAAAGTCACTCAAAAAATTAAAAAAAGAAAATGAGTGTTTTCTAAATAAATTATAAATTAGAATTCTACTTACCCCTACTTTTTGCTGTTCAACCATTTTTCTTGATCTTGCTGTCTGATTCCATACATTCCAGCCTGTTCAATGGATTTGTAATAAACTGAAAATACAAATAACTGTCGTTTTTATAAAACACGCAAGTGTTAAACTATATTGAGAAAACATACTTTTTCCCTTATTCTGCGTAGCAAAATGAAGATACACATATTTCATGTATAAGTTCTAGCACCTCTATTCTAGTGAGCACTATTAAGCATTACTTTATACCATTTATGCCAAATAATTACATGTCATCTTGTTTAATCCTTCTACAATTCGTGACATGGGCATTCTCTCTACTTAACAGAGAAAAGAAACAACTCCAAGAAGTTAGGAAACTGAAGATGGGTTTTAAATTTTAAGCTATGGTTTGATTCCATCACAACCTCAGGTATGTCTCATTCCAAAGTCTACGTTCTTAACTGCTAGAAGAATTAAGAATCCCAGTCCATTAGCTAACTGCTCTCATCTCTAGATGAGAATTTTCTTCACTCTGTATTCTCAGGAGCTAAGATAGGGATGAGGAAATTGCTATCACAAGTCACTTAGCCCTTAATTGGTCATAATTTATTGGTTACTTGAAAAAGTTGTTTTGTACTCTTGTGGAAAAACATACCTTCCAAGATGAAGGGAAATTTCTTGCTCATTGTTTGCCTGAAATCTGATGAAAAAAAGAGTCTTAGATATGATTAGAAATTCCTTATTAGAAATTCTTTAACACATGGAGCCATAATTTCATGCTTGCTTTAGGGTCTGTGAAACAGGAATCCTATAGATTAGAAATTTGTGTTAAGGTCCTTCTGGTAATTTAGAACTATATCCTTTTGGGATCTGAGTTGAAACTTGGCTTACACATAGCCTTCCATAGCTATTTTGGGAAGTTTAAAATTTGGCCTTTTTGTATAATTTGTTCAGAAATGGTATTTAAAATCAAGTTTTACATGCTAATGTGTAATTCTCTTATGTAACTTTATGAATTGTTTTTTGGATGCCATTTTACCTTGTTAAGGAATTAGAAATAAGGCTGTACTGCACCCAATTTCTTAAATTGTCTTAAGTTTTAATTTGCTTTTAGATACTGTTTGGATGTTTTCTTTTATACCCTTACTTACAGTTTAAAAGTATAGAGCCCTTTTGAATGTCCAGTACATCCTGGAACACTGTTCCAGTGAAGTACTTTAAGAAAACAAGTTTCAAAGATGGTCACCACCCCAGGACTACCATTCCCTGTTCTAGGGAAAGAAAGCAGCACTTCCTAATTTTAAAAGTAAAAGGCTTTAATATAAACTCCCCCACCCCCCACCCCAAAAAAATGTCAAAGCACTTTCAATAATAGCTGGTGCCATGGGGAAGGTTTTAGAGCATAATATTAATGAGGAGGAAGAACTGTTAACCTGAGAAACTAGTTCCTTGACAATTCAGCTATGCCACCTCTTGCTTCTCAGTCTACCAAATAATGAGATGTAACAGGCAGGCTGAATCCTCCATCTGTGTTCGCAAACTAACCCAGGCCAAAGCTCTATGTCCTCCAGTAAAATCCATGGAAGTGTGAAAAAAGTTCCCTACTCTACAAATTACTTTTTTTAGGGAAAGGTATGTCATTTAGTCTATAATAATTGACATCTAGTTTTCCCTTGTACCCATAAAAATGCCTACTACATTGAATCTGAAGAAATTTATCTAAAAATGCTATTTAGAACCTAAAATGCATTAGGAAACTGCACCACTCTAGAAAACATTAACATCTGAATTATGATTACCTTGACTTGTGTTCATCTTATTAAACAAACAGTATGCTCCAAAAATGCCCACAAGTTCAGCTAGTAAGACTCCTTTAAAGATCTTCTTTGCCAGTGGTTCCATAGTGCGAGCCATCCTAAGTTTAACAGTAACAAAAATATGTGAACCTAAATGAGCATATTCAGATTTAACACCACTTACATAAAAAATTCCTTCCTGTAATTTTTATTTTTATTAAATTCTTATTAGAGCAAGAATGTTTATCTATTTTGGAATAAAACCCCAAAGTTACTGTAGCCTTATTTGCACTGGACATGTCCCATGTTCCTAGTTTTCAATCTCCATGCCTAAAAGGCACAGTGAACCAAAGATGATTGGATAAAGCACAGAGAGGAGATAAAAATTGAAGGCATTGTAAATAAAACAATTTTAAAATTGTCTAAGAATATAAAATGGTGGGAGATGGGTAATTTTTTTAGCTGAAAGGAATTAAGATAATTTAATGGGCACAACATGTGAAAGCTCTTCATAACATAGCCAACAAAAAATGAGGTTTAAGTGACTGTTTTACAGCTGGAGGAACATGTATTGGACTTTATGGCATAGTTCAGACATTTTATGCAAAGTTGAGCACTATAAACTAACTGGTTCTTGTTCCTGAAGAGCTGCTCTTCTAACAGTATTTTCAAACTAATTGTGTCACTCATAACCCTTGTTAAAAGTGCACGTTCCAGGGCCTCAGCCTGCAATTCCTCCAATCCCCACATTTTGATTCAGCAAGTCTAGGGTTGGCACCCAAGTAATCTGCCCTTTTAGCAGAAAACTCCAAATGACTGTTTATACAAGAGCCCCATGGGCCACATGAGGAGGAAAACACCATCACCCAGTAAGTGTCAAAACTATATGTTAGATCTTGATTCTCCTGTAATTAATGGGTTTGAGTCTTTGGTTTCTTTCTCTAAAGTAAAAGCCAAACAAAAGGGCTATATAAACAAAGTAGCATATATGATCATACTAAAATACATGAAATGTAAACCCAACTTTTTACTCTCCCTGTAACCCCAAATTCAGGAACAACAGGAGAACCCGCAGTTTTTAATCTCAGGATTTTGATACCGCCCTATGTATGCTTTTTGTCTAGTTTCATCCTATGCACAGACGATATGTTCTCGAATACAGTTCCAGCACTCTGCTCACTGTCATGAGTTTACTCCATTCGCTTGTGGATCCTCTTCACATGCTTAAGGGTGGGGGATAATTAAATACCATACTTTCGTGGGATAATCCTATTAATATGGCTACCAGATGTCCCTTCCCCCCAAAAAATCCCTTCTCTCATTTTGATAATGTGATCACTCTGAGGACCAAAAGATTAAAACTTTATTCTTACCTAAAAGAAATGAAGCAGAGTAAGTTAAAAAGAACTTACATATAACCAAGAGGCAGATGGGAAGGGAGTTGTTTTGCCTATTTACCACAATGCCATACATTATTAACAGGAAATAAGTCATGATTAGTACAGAGAGCTATCTTGGGTTATTTTTAATGTTCAAGGAGTGAAAAAAACAAAGCAGGCCCAGAGCCAGTGTAAGGAATCCAAGCAAAGTTGTTTTGTTTGGAAAGGGTGAGACTGACGGTTCAAAAAACAAACTCGAAGTAACAACGTATATAATAAGTCATTTACCTTTCTTAAAAATATATATATACATTTTACATTCCAAGTCCCTTGGAATTATCTATAAAGACTGATAAAACCCATCTGATAAAGACCACCTTTTAAAGGCATACCTGTCCATGACAAAGCTAGGTTACAACTGGCAGAGGAGCAACAAGATTAGACATTTTGGAGGATGGAACTTGGTGAAGTTTAAAATAAAGCAGTCCTCTGATGGACATGAGTGTCATGCGGTTACCATCCCACTGGCTCGAGAGGCTGACTCAGGGTGCACGAATTTAAGACAAAAGGGCAATGCTGCGTCGGAAAATCCCTCCGCTCTGCGCCAGCTGGAAATCCACACAGCTCAGCATGTCCAGGCAAAAAAGCCACATGTCACACACACTAGATGTTGAAGAACGAGGTTCCTCTGCTACAAACTCAGTTTTTCCAGGTTACCACTGTCAAGGGCCAAGCAACCTGAGAGGCCTCTGAGAGCTGCCTCAGGCAGGCTACCTGCGGCCCTCACGGCCCCGCCCCGGCCCCCCCGGCTCCCCAGTGCTCCCCGGCCCGCCCAGACTCCCAGGATCCTCCGGCCCGGCAGCAGTTCCCAGGGACCGGCAGCACATGCAGCACCCCCACCCTGGCCGCGGCGCGAAAGTTGCCAAGCGACCTGGAAATATTAGGGTCTCTCCCGCTCTCCTCCGACGGAATAGACACAGAGACACCGGGTATTCACCGTTCACCCCCAGATCTCTCCACAGAAACCTCACCCACTCCCAGCACTGGGAGCCCTTGTAAGACTGCGCAGCTACCGCAACAGCTTACTCTCACCTCAGGAATATACAGGCGGGACTGCGCCTGCGCAATGGATGACGGAGCCACGCCCCTCCCCGCGTGGCCCCGCCCACGCGCTGTAATTAGCATTTATGGTGCTTTAAATAAGAGTGGGTACTGGCTGCTGACTGGTGCGCTATTTTATTTAATCCTCAAACAACCTGATGTCATGATAGCTGCCATGAGTATTTCATTTTACAGAGAAAGCGAGATGTTTACCCTGCCCACAATCACATAGTTGATAAAAGACAGAACTTGGATTTGAACCCAGGACTATGGTTTGAAAGCCTGCACTCATTTTTAATCTGCAACCCAAAGTGTGATAGTCTCCAAGAATCAGTAGTATGGGAATCACCTGGGAACTTGCTCGGACGACAGACCTGCTTAATCAGAACCTGCATTTTATACCTAGACAATCCGTTTGCAAATTAAATTTTGAGAAGCACTGCCCTACTGCCCACTAGATAGAAGAAAAAAGTAGAGAGTGAGAAAGGGGAAGAGGAGGAGGAGGAGGAAAGGAATTGAAAGGTCTATTAAGGTAGACACAGATCTACCTTCATTGATGTTAATAGTCTAGTAGGGGGTAAAATATACCCACAAAAAACTAATGGAAAGTACGCAATGATCAGGGCCTTACTTCTGATCTAAGGGACCCATGACCTTTTAGAGAAGGTGTGATAGTTGGAGCTGTTTGTCAGTGCCACTAAAGAAAGTACCTGTGAGGAGCTCTCTTGACTGCCCCAGTTTTCCTATCCAACTACCACAGTCCAACCTCATGGCTCATTTGCACATCCAAACTGGCATACGTTGTGAAAAATGTGGATTTGCAAACTAAATTCATTAAAAGCATATCATTATTAATGAAAATCACTCAGGTCTACACTGACAAGAGCCCCAAAGCCATCTTTTCCACATCAGCACTACTAGTATCCTCTTAACATTAGGTTTTGTGTACTCTTAATCTCTTCTGCTCTATAGAAGCTGCCTCAGTTTTGAACCTCCATTCTAATAACTTTATGTATCTGACTTTCAAGCTTTTCTCATAAGATCTCTTTGCAACTCTATTGTTCTTTATTTTGTCTGTTACTGTTTTTGCATCATAACCTATTATTCTCAAAACTATTCAGAACTCTTCCCCAGGTATCACCTACTCTGTTGAGGCCCCCTTTCCTCTCCAACCAGGTGTCTTGCCAGTAGGTTTCAGCCCCAGACAAGTTCACAATGGATTCAATGTGACCAAAGAAATGACAGTAGAACGTTCTTGGGGTGAAAGGGTTATACCCAACTTTATTCCACAGTGGCAGGTCAATCACTAGAATCCCATCCACTCAGAGCAAGTCTGCATGCAGCAAGCCGGTCTCTGCCTCTGGGCCTCTCTGCCTGCACAACCGTCTCAGTCTCTGTTCTCGGTGCTGCCACCACTCCAACCTCTGCTCTGCTCTCCTGCAGCCTTGCAGTCATGCCACCGTGTCACCCAGAGCACTGGGTGGAGCTCTTTATATAGAGTCAATAACAACATGTAGCCCACACATGTGTAGTGAGCTAGCTGACCAGGGCCAGGTGAGAATACTGGCCACAGGAACCTTCACTTTATCTACACCAGGGTATTCACAATCTTTAGAGATTCATCCCTTTCAAAGATTCACCCACAATAAATCTTTCTCATTTTAAAATCAATCTGTATGACTTCCAACAAAAACTTTGTTTTAAAAAATACATAGATCACTTAAGACATTCTGTGGATAAAGTGAAAGTTCCTGTGGCCAGGATTCTCACCTGGCCCTGGTCAGCTAGCTCACTACACACGTGTGAGCAATATGTTGCTATTGATGCTACATAAAGAGCTTCGCACAGTGGTCTAGGTGACACAGTGACACGACTGCAAGGCTGCAGGAGAGCTGAGACAAGACTGGAGACTGGAGTGGTGGCAGTGCTGAGAACAGAGACTGGGATGGTTGTGTGGGCACAGAGGCCTAGAGGCAGAGACCGGCTTGCTGCATGCAGACTTGCTCTGAGTGGACAGGATTCTAGTGATTGACCTGCCACCATGGGAATGAAGTTGGGTATAAACCCTTTCATCCCAAGAACGTTCCATTGTCATTTTTCGGTCTCCTTGAATCCATAGTAAACTTGCCCAGGGCTGAAACTCACTAACAAGACAACTCCTCTATGCCTTGAGCTGCCAGGCCCTACTACAGTGGTTTAAAATTCCAACCATCAGGGTTAAAGGTAGCAGGATGACAAAACAAGAGGAAAAAATAATCAGAATGGTTCAGACTGAAAAAAGAAAAGAATAAAATAACCTGATACAGAGCCTGAAATAATTCCACAGAGACTCAATCATTTCCACAGTATATATAAATTAATTAAGGGAGGTTGTTCACTGGAGGGGAAGTTTCCCAGTATGACACAAAACTCGACATCCTCATATCTGTTTCTTACATATCCTAGACCCAACTATATATTTCACAAACATGTTTTGAGGTAACGACCACTTGGCCACAAAGTTTAGAGCAGGAAAAGTGGAGACCCTTACCAAGTTCCTTTATCAATGAATTGGGGTAGAGGGTAGAGGGTGTTGAGGCAGGTGGGACAAACTCTGGTGAAAGATTTTCAAAGGGGCACTGATTCTCTCAAGTATCAGGTGGGACTCCCAAGCAGCAGGTATGCACATTGGGGGCGAGGAAGTAACTAATTTGCCCTAGCTCCAACCCCAGAATACAAATGCTCAAACTCTCCAGTCCAGAAGCCTGGTAGATCCTTCTTCAAGTCTTGAACACCTCTGCCAAAGGGTCCTTTGAGGGCTGTACATTCCCACTGTGACCCTAATTTGCTAACTCTAGCAGAGGGTGCAAGTGGCCAGGAGGAAGTTCTCCTTGCTACATCATACCCAAGGCCAGAGCTGGCCCAAAGGCAGCACAGAGTCCTAGCCTTCTGTAGTGGTCACAAGGGCAAGGACAACAGGCATCTGCACACTAACCAGTATCTAAGAAGTCTGCTGCCCATCCTCCCATGGTTACCTCAGAGGGCAGGCAGCTAGCCAACCTGGCCAGGAGCCTAAAGGCAAAGTTCTTGCAGTTACCTGACGTGAGGCAGCAGAGATTAATCTAGATAATCCAATGCTGCTGGGTGCCACAAAGCACCTACTGAACAAGAGGGGCACAGGCTCTTGGTGATGGCCCCACCTTCCCTTCAGAGGGCCACAGGACACAGAGCAGTGGAGAGCTGGGGCCTCTGGGGATACTGTCCCAGAAGCAGGGGAAGTGGGGCAGGACTCCTGTCCAGTGCTGGATGGAGTGGTTCTCTATCACCCTCAGTCTAGGATGCTAAAGTGTTACCAGATGAACTGTCTTGGATCCTAAATGTTTCCAGCATTCACCACCTCAGGGACACCACCCGTGACTTCCTGGTCTTCAGCTTCCAAAGAGGGAAGCCAGCTCTTAATAAACTTCCAAAATACAAAGAGATTACACCCCCCTCCCTATACTTGGGATACCAGGGTAAATTTCAATCCTGAACTATACTCAGAGATAGCACTTCTCTTGCTAAAGAAGAGACAAATCACAACTTAATCCTGAAGGGACACCCCACTACAGAGAGAGGAAGATAGCGCAGTTAGGGCCTATTTACCTGCCCCTAAAAATCAGCCTTGGGCCAATCAGCACATAGGAACCCTATGCTATGTGATCCTTGCCTTACTAATCAGATTTGATTTAGATTACCCTAGACAATTTCTGCATTCTGTTTTCTCTCTCTTTTTATAAGCCTAGGAAAAAATTAGAAGGAAAGAAGGTAATAGGGAACAATCTCTTTAATCCCCAGGAAAGGAGGTTTAAATAAGTCTCCCTTGCTGCTGCCACCAGGCACATAAACCAAGCCAGCGTGGCACCACTGTTTTGGGTCTAGGTGGGTCAGGAGCTGAACAGGAAGCAGGGGTTTCACCAAACATGAGGCCCAGCTTCATTCAGGCACACCAGTGCAAATGCATCATATGATCTAGGTGGTTGTGCAATCATGCATGCTACTGTTTGCTCCCATCATGCATGCTGGGAAGTTAAGAGTCAGGTATGGAGAACTGTAAAGTTGGTAGGCTGTCCTGAGCTTAGGGAGACTAACAAGAATCAGAGCTCACATTACCAATTCCAAACATCCCCCAAGTCCTCCTATAATTACAGGCATTAGTGTCAGAATAGGATCCAACCACATTGTCCTTTTTTAATGTTTTATTTACTAAGAAGCAAGCGAAGGACAAGAACAACACTTGAATTAATGTCTTAAATTCTACCTTCCCCAGGGAAACAAAGCCCTTAAAATGTAAGGGACAATCCCACTTAAGCAGCTTGGCAGAGAGTCCAGTCCTTCTTTTCTTTTTTGGGAGGGAGGTTCTGAAATACACACCCTTCCTACCTACAGTGAATAGTATCTCATTATTATGTGAATTAATAAATAGAAAGACCTTCAAATATTCTAATTTTGCCTTTTTACCAGCTAAAAAGTTAAAAACCACAAATGTAACAAAACCCAGATACTTAGTCCTAACTAGGAACGCTGTTTCTTCTCCTCTGTAAAATGGAGATGAAAAGTTGCTCTCCCATATCCACCAGCTGCCTCAGTAAGATACTTTCTGTTAACATATAA